CCCAATAGTGTATTTTTGATGTTGCTTCAATTGCAAAGAGAGAGATTAAAAGAAAGTGTGTCCTTATATAAGTTTGGTTAAGGGAAAGCTTAGAATGATAACAGGATGGTAGAATAGCCAATGAAGAGTTGTTAGGGGCAGGTCATAAGTTTTAACTTTTTAGCGGGTAATGAGCTAAGTTTTGCGACTGAGAGGTGGGCTTTCTGGGGGAGGGGCTTTTCTGGGGCAATTACCTAACAGTTCTAGCTTGCTAAATGGTTACCAGGGCTTTCATTCCCATTTATGAACTTCCTAGGTTCATAAAATGGACAGATCAGTAACAATCTTTCCTGTGTTTATTTTTTCAGAGTAGTTTAGCATGTTTTTCAAGAATGGTCTGCAAATCCCTTGCACCAGAATCACCCAAGAAGTTTGTTCAAATAAAGATTCCAGGGATACATACCAGATTTAGGGATTCAAAATCTCTAGTGAGGGAGTACACAGGTATCTACATGGTAAAGATCAAATCAGGTGATTCTCATGCACAACAAAAATTGCAGGTATTGTCCCGTGATCTTTGTCTTTTAAGAAGTACGCCATGCCTCAGTTTCTCACTTCTGCTCCAGAAAACAAGAGTTACTTGGTATTTTGAGTTAGGAGTAATACTACTGGTTGACAGGATTCAGAGACATGGCCGTAGAAAGGTGATTGGGGGCTTCCCTTAGGTCCCCTTATTCCTGGTAAATTCTAAATTCAATTTGGGAAAGAGAAGAAGAGATTTGGGGAACTCAAGACTAAGTAGGCTCGGGATCCAGAGATTATGCACAGTTCCTAACGTGAGGCGTGAGAGCGCGTTCGGTTAGTAGTGTCTCCGGCGAGCCACCGTAGTCCGACTGGCGAAACAATTCGACTTTCTTGCTGGCAGCGGGCAGCCGATCGTCAACATGGCGGCCCCCAGGAGCTGCGGTCTATGGAGCTACTATGGCCGTGGATGGTCGCGGGCGATGCGGGGCTGCCAGCTCCCTGGGCTTCCTAGCTCTTGGCCCGGGGGTCCATTGGCTGCGCGGCTCTTGTCCCAAGAGAAGCCGGCAACGGAAACCCACTTCGGGTTTGAAACCGTATCGGAGGAGGAGAAGCAGGGCAAAGGTGAAAGGGACGAGAGGGCGGATGGAGGAACCGGTCCGCAGTCTAGTTCCTTCTGTCCAACTCCGGGTTGACTTAACATTCACTTAGCCCAACACTGTTGTCTGTGCAGTGTTAACTTCCACCTGCCTGAGCCAGAAGAGCTTACAATTGCCCCTTTTCGTAAGCAATTAGCCGTCCAATTGAGCGTGATATGCCAGGCACGGCGCAGACATTATCCACAATTCTCATTTTAACTTTTCAATGGTGGATATTGTTATCCCCGTATTACACGTGAGGAAATTGAGACTTAAAGTTAAGCAAGAAATTACCCAATTTAGCATAGCTATCACGCGGCAGAACAAATATTCCATCCCAGTTTACCTTGATTCCAAAGCACATGTTCTTGGTCTCTTTCTTAAAAAGAGAGGTCCTTTTTTTTTATAGAAAGAAAGAAGGAGGCTCGACACCTATAGCTCAACCGGCTAAGGCGCCAGCCACGTACACCTAAGGTGGCGGGTTCGAATCCCCAGCCCGGACCCGCCAAACAACAATGA